AAGGTATCAAAGCCTGATGTTGGTGCTTGTGTGTTCCACCGAATGGGTCGCGTCCCAAAGAGTTCACTTTCGATGTTTCTTTTCCTTTCGGTACGTGGGAGGGGGGAGGGATTTCTGGCCACGTTAACATCATCGAGAGTCTGTATAAGAGCCTGAGCATCTACGGCAAGTTCACGTACACTGAAGAGGGGGGGATCGCATGAATCCAGCTGTAATTGATGGAGCATTGCCCGTTCTGCTTCATAAATTAAGTGTGGAGAGATTTCTTTCGGGAGCCAGAGTCCATCATGGAGCCAAATTGCTGATGTTACGTGGCACCTTCTCGTTAGCTCCTTGTTGTTCGAGATCATAATGTGTTCTTCATACCATTCAAGAGTTCGAAAAGCAGCACCTCTGACATGAGCAACGTATTGAGGCCTCCTTAAGGGCAAGTGGTCATTAACAAGCGCTTGTGTGGCTGATTCAATTTGAAAGCTGATATGATATAAAGCTGGAGGACATATGATATGGTGTTCCCTTTCTATTTTGGCACACGCTTCTCTTGCCCCTGCATTCATTACAATTAGTGGATGTCGCTTAACAATTGCAGGCCGCTGATTCAGCGATACCAACCCTAGCAGATCAGTAAGTATTGCTCTGAGATCTACTATATGTGGGAGGTGGCTGCTGCGAAGAAGTCGTCTCATGATTTCATAGAATGCGCCGATCATGTCCACTTCCTGGTGCGTATTTCCAAATAGAAGTAATCGCACCTTTCGTGGTAGTCTTTGAGCACAGGGACCTCTACCGTACAATCGGCCCAGACAGTCTGTTGCAGACGCCGTATACTCTACTACTCGGGGTTTCGTGAGATTGGCAGTGCCCGCTAGGCAGGCCTCCACCTCTTTGAGATATTGCTGGTTTGCAGCTTGCACCATAAATTTATTTACCAGTTCTATACTTATATTCGGGACCTCGGTAAGTACTAAGATCGTACCCCCTAGAGGCCTCTCTTCCAGTACAACAGCTCCAGATTGCATAGCCAATTGATAGGGCGCTTCAACAACGATTTCTGTAGGCTCGCTTACATGAGCTGGGAAGGCCTGGGCCGCTTTGCTAGCCACGCCAGCAAGATAGTCTGCGAGTATATTGGCTTCTCTTGGACGGTATACCCATTTTCCATAGTCAAAAAACCTCGATTGTTTCCGGCGAATTTGCTGTATAATAGGCTGTAGGTCTATCCTACGAAAACGTCCTGCAAAGGCTAAGTGCTTAACGATGGGGAGGATGTCCCCTTGTAGAAAGGCCTGGTCAACTGCGTAGCTTCTGTGCGCAATTTCCTCACAGAAAAGGTCTGTTGCGATATTTGCTGATACCGCCTCAGCAAATATATTGTCTGGGCAGCTAGGCAGTGCAACAGACCTCCATTTGAGCAGCGTTAATCCTTCTCGCTGGAGCTCTAAGAGAGCAGCGCCCGCTCCACCTGTTCCCCTATCAGCATGACAGGACCCGTCAAATTGTACTAGTAGTGTTGTTTTGTCAGACTCAAGATAGCTGCTGAGCACTTCATCGGTGCCTATAGGCTGTAATGCCGTAATGCGGCAATGATAGTCGCCACACTCACACTGGAAAGTGGAGAGCGAGACATTGGGGGAAGTGCCTGTTCCAAACTGGATACTGGGGAGGACCACTTCTTGGAGTCCAAAAAGCCAATGTGTTTACGGCCCCGAAAATGGGATTGCTGCAGTGACCTTTTTGCGAAAAATTGCGCAGCTTTAACAAGTTGTATAGCCACCCGCACTGTTTAGCTTCCAAGAAGTATGGATGCTTCAACTTGTTTTCAATTCAAAGGGCTCCATTGGTTTCTATGTACGCTACATAAATATGTATATGGAGTATATATATATATATGTACATGTATATGATTGTATGTGTATATGCATATGCACAGGTATAGGTATATGTATATGTACATGTACATGTATATGTGTGTATATGTCTATTTATATGTATATTTATATGTACATGTATATGCTGGCGGCTGGTTTACCGTACGTGCGTTTTTGTGTGTTTTTTTTGGCCGATGGGGTGGGGTGGGTTGGGGTGGGGTGGGGTGGGCTAATAACGTTCAATGGCACTAGCACACATACTTGATGCTACGCTACCCACCTCGTCTCTTGCACTTGCACACATACCTGATGCTACGCTACCGACCTCGTCTCTTGCACTTGCACACATGCCTGATGCTACGCTACCGACCTCGCCTCTTGCACTTGCACATATACCTGATGCTACGCTACAAATGGGTTGGGGTGGGGTGGGGTGGGCTAGTAACGTTCAATGGCACTAGCACACATACGTGATGCTACGCTACCGGTCTCTTCTCTTGCACTTGCACACATACGTGATGCTACACTACCGACCTCATCTCTTGCACTTGCACACATACCTGATGCTACGCTACCGACCTCGTCTCTTGCACTTGCACACATACCTGATGCTATGCTACCGACCTCGTCTCTTGCACTTGCACACATACCTGATGCTACGCTACCGACCTCGTCTCTTGCACTTGCACACATACCTGATGCTACGCTACCGACCTCGTCTCTTGCACTTGCACACATACCTGATGCTACGCTACCGACCTCGTCTCTTGCACTTGCACACATACCTGATGCTACGCTACCGACCTCGTCTCTTGCACTTGCACACATACCTGATGCTACGCTACAGATGGGTTGGGGTGGGGTGGGGTGGGCTAATAACGTTCAATGGCACTAGCACACATACGTGATGCTACGCTACGTCTCTTCTCTTGCACTTGCACACATACGTGATGCTACGCTACCGACCTCGTCTCTTGCACTTGCACACATACCTGATGCTACGCTACCTAAGAACGTTCAATGGCACTAGCACACATACGTGATGCTACGCTACCGGTCTCTTCTCTTGCACTTGCACACATACCTGATGCTACGCTACCGACCTCGTCTCTTGCACTTGCACACATACCTGATGCTACGCTACCGACCTCGTCTCTGCACTTGCACACATACCTGATGCTACGCTACCGACCTCGTCTCTTGCACTTGCACACATACCTGATGCTACGCTACAGATGGGTTGGGGTGGGGTGGGGTGGGGTGGGCTAATAACGTTCAATGGCACTAGCACACATACGTGATGCTACGCTACCGGTCTCTTCTCTTGCACTTGCACACATACGTGATGCTACGCTACCGACCTCGTCTCTTGCACTTGCACACATACCTGATGCTACGCTACCGACCTCGTCTCTTGCACTTGCACACATACCTGATGCTACGCTACAAATGGGTTGGGGTGGGGTGGGGTGGGCTAATAACGTTCAATGGCACTAGCACACATACGTGATGCTACGCCACCGGTCTCTTCTCTTGCACTTGCACACATACGTGATGCTACGCTACCGACCTCGTCTCTTGCACTTGCACACGCCGAGACTTTTCGAGCGAACATGCAGTGAAAGTGCTGCGCCAGAAAAAAACCGAAAAGTCCGATTTTTTTGTTGTCTCCCTGTGGCGAAACGCAAATCCATCAAAAAACAAAGCATCCTGAAACAGCCTCTTTCTACTCCTGGCGTTCACAAAAGCGTGCAAATACAAGTGAAAAATGATGAAAAAATAAAACACAATGGAACTAGCCACATTTTGTGACCAAACATGATGATGATTGCTTCAAAAGTCCTGCAAATACCAAGAAATAGACATGAAGGTCATCATAAAGACTCTTGAGAAAATGCCAAAACACACGCGCGGTAAACCAGGCGCCGGGATGTATATGTATATGTATATGCATATGTATATGTATATGTATATGTATATGTATATGTATATGTGGGTGTATGTATATATACATATATATGTATATGTACATGTATGTATTAAATATATACACATGCATATGCATTATGCTGCATACGCATTTGCAGTATATATATATATAAATATGCAGTAGACATGAACAGGTGGTGCTAAAATAGTTTGTTACTGACGTAGTCTGCAAGTGCATCATGACCGCACATGCACATTGAAGAACATAGGGCTGGTAGAATGTGTTCCAAACAGTATCCAAAGTTTTCCCCAACTTGGACCTCTCTTCCTGAAGTTCCGGAAAAATTATTCGGTAGGGGTGCCCCTGCGATCTTCTCAAAACCAGGTGACCGAGAATGCGCGGCTTTTCAAGACCTTGACATCTTGAAGCAGCGCGAAGTTCAGGTTGGACACGTCCGAGTCCAATGCCTGACTTTTGGTGTCAGAAAGCTAATGAGGTCACAATGATGAACGGGGATCCTCAATTGGGGTTTGTTATTGGGAGATACTCCTCTTTGGGATCATTTAAAATCACAGCCAAATGATTGGTTACTGGGGTAGTTCATTATTGGATTTGCCACATTCTTGCAGATCTGTTCACAATTCCAAGAGTTTTGGTTGCGCACGTCCCAGCCCGGACTCGCCTGATGTTTACCGAAGCTTCCTCCAAGATGTTTGTGCTGTTTTCTCGTATCCCCACTCCGAAGGCTTTCGGTTGCTGGCAGGAATTCCTTTATTCTTCACGGGATTTCAACAATGAGAGCGTGTATGGCCTACCCTTGCAGCCGTAGGATTCCAATCGAGACCGGTGTTGATCGGGGTTGATCCCACAATAGGGTCGTGGATGTATACATGCCCCTGTTGGCAAGTGGTACTCGTACCCTGAAGAACCAAGGAAAGTCTTAGAAAATGTGCTGATGTGTCGGCGGGGTTAAGCATGTCGAGAGGGATTGCAGTCTTCAGCCGTCATGGCACGGCTTGTGATGAGAATACGGAATGAGATCGACATCCTGTTTTTATAGAATGCAACGATTGACCAATAATAAAGAGATATGATATGTATATATATATATACTGTATATATATATATACTGTATATATATATACACATAAAGATAGCGAATAATCCCTTCCTCCTAACACTAAGTGTCCCCTTCAAACCCTGGCTTAGTATTGTATCTATTCATTTGGGGTCCTTGATGCAGTGGAGGCCAAACTGGATGCTGAGAGTGGCTTCTCCCGCTCCCAAGCAGGAGAGGTCGAGGTCCGGGAGTCGGGGGGATCCGATGAACGGTCATCCAGATGACCAGAAAAGCTTCTGGATTGATAAGGGAATGTCAGGGATAGGTTTATGCATATTTATGCTGGGTAAAGCTTGGTAGATAGGTGTGTGTGTGTGTGCCCCATCCAGATTTTAGCAGAAGGGTAGATCAGGCATCCTGCCATGTTGATTTGGGTTGCATATGCTCAGCCGGTGATCCAACTTCGTTTTTTTTTTTTGTGTGTGTGTGTGGAGTGGTGGTACACAATCTGTCACAAGAGACTGTGCAAGGTTGACTAAAATTCCAGTCGATCATTGTTATTCAGCACTGCATAGGTCTAGTCACGCCTTTGCTCCGTATGCAGTTGATACGCTGTACATTCATCGACAGCTGTCACATTGACGTACAAACAACCTCTGGTTCCACGGTTGGCGCATCTTGCTGGATTGGTACAACCTTCGGCATGACCTCACCCAACCCGGTGTTTAGAGGGCGCCTTCTTCAGGTTTCCTTTCAGGTGGTGGAAGTTTTTTGGTGATAGGTGTTTATCCACGGCATTCTACGAAGCTACCCGCTCTCTCTTCCTGAGATGTAGTCTGTTCAACTCAGGGTCAGATGGTCTGCATCTTGCAACTAGTTGGGTATGCCTGAAGTTCTGGGAAGATCCACCCAGACACAGTAGGATGACGACACAACATGATTGAAGATGAACAGCTAATAGGCTAATAGATTCCCATTTTTCGCCCAGATCAAACTGACAGGTGACCGTCTTAGACGGGCGGCGATGTAAACTGTGCCTCGGCAGAGTGGGATTTTGAAGCCTGCCGCAGCTCGAGACTCTTTCTGTGTGACTCTGAGCCCCTTTTGTGATCTTTTGTGCAAGATTGGGGACTGCCTCTTGTCCTTCTTGTCCTTGTCTTGTTTCACATATTTGTTGCGTTTACATCCAAACGATTGATCCGTGTGCCAAATACTCTTGGGAAGTTGAAACCAACATTCCCAGAGATAGGGATTGGCCTTACAATAAGGGCACGCTACAAGTCAAACACGGGAGCATGCTCACTCTTTATGCTTCTGGCTCCCGTGCAAACTCAGAAAAAGTTAAGAAGTTGACATCACATGGCTATGGTGTGCTGCTTGCAAAACTTCGAACATAAATGGTTGAAATGGATTGGAATGTGGTGGCAACTACCATCCTTTTTGATCTCTGAAGCGTGACCTGCAGACAGATTCAGCACGCAAGACATCTGTCCACTATTTACAGTTTGTTCTGCCAAGAATCGCTACCCGGAAGAAGGTTTGCAAGGAGCTAAGATTCAAGTCACGATGATGGTTACACCCCGACCATGATGTGGTTTATCATGAATTCAAGCTAGTGAATTATAGTATATTTCATCCAAGATTCTCGCTTGTTTCAGCTTGCAGAAGAAGAAACGTAGTTGGCCAGAAGAATCTACAGCTCCATATTGTTGGCCATCTTGTTGAAATCTAGTTGTTCCTAAATTTTGTGCTTTCCCTGGTCTGCTAGCAGGTTCTTCCAAGACTCGCTCCATATGTAACGACCGTGGCTCGACCAGGTCACTTAGCCACCAGATGCGCCTACGGGAGGTGAAAGAGCTGATCAGGCAGCAGCTTCAAGTACCTGCAGGCCCCATAGCCGATGGATATTTATTGGCTACATGATGCTATATGTGCCATGGACGGTCATGGTCATTAATATCATTATATAATTAATATGTAAGGAATTCCACTATGCGGACGTACCGGGAGTGAAACCGCCTGAAATTGTCAATGGCTCATGTGCTCCAAACTTCACAAGCCAACCATTGGACCCACCGGCCGACCCATGACATTCGATCGCACGGGTCCTCGAGGCCAGCAACGCTTACTTTTTCGAGGCCGTGACCTCACTAAGACAGCTGCGACTTCAGCTGAGAAGGGGGTTGGGCCTCCTGTGGGCCAATAATTGGTTTCTGTAGTCATGAACCCAGATCAACCAGAAATTGTGTGAATGGCAAGGGTCTGGTGTTGAGTGAGATACACATAAAAACATCGAAAGAGGAAATCATAGTCTCTGTAACAGCCTATTCCGACACCAAAGTGAAAGTTGCCAACCCCAATATAGGAATTCTCATCATCAACGTCAACATGACCTGAAAATTACCAATTTCGATTGCTGGCGTGGCAAAAACAGGCCACTGTGAGCTTTCTGAATCCATCAATATGTGCGGAGCTTTCTCCCCAAAGCTGTGAGACACTCACCCGAGATACATCCTTGATTGTGACAAGCAAATGGCTGTGTCTCGAATAGGGTATACCGTGTACGCCCAAAACAGTTCTTTTAATCGGGACAATATCAATGCCATTAGCCAGTGGATTGAGGTACCCAGTTTTCAGACAAGTGCCAGGCGAAAATCCTTGTTCCCTTAGGGCCCCTGGTAGCACATTAGCAGGTCAGCAAGTGGCCACCGTTTTCTTGCTGGGCTACCAGCAGCGGCTTCCCCCAGGATCCCAGTGGTATGATTGTTGATTCTTTGAGTTTTAGATGTATGGTGGCGAACAATGTTTCATCATACTTCATCTATGTTTCACCGAAGCCCACCATGCAGGCTGTTTGGCGCCATTTTTTCACAGGATTATACTATGTGATATTATACATACATATATATATATATACACACACATCCCTAAACTATCCAAAACAGTGGTCACATATGTACAAGAAGCAGTCAAATGGGGCTCTAAACCAAGTTATAGGCTACCCTCCGGTAATCAAACATATGGCAATGGACAATTCCCACCATTTGTAGATGTATTTTTTCCGTTAAATCCCTCGATTTATAGGGGAGTTCCCAGCTAGCCACGTTTGGTGACCCCAAAGTATAGGTCCCCAACGAGTTGATCTCAGGATGAGCCTGATCCTCGCTGGGGAAGTCTGGGGGTGCCCTTTGGCGAGGCATGGGTACGGAGCGATATATGTGACGAAGATTGGGAGATGATATCTACCGGAAAGAGAACCCTGAGTTCAATGGTTCACGGACTATATATCTGCACATATTCAGAAGATGTTGGGTTATTCCACCTATCCCAGGATGAATGTTGGATGCGTCAATCCTGCAAAACCAACTGGTAGGAACACTTTTTTGTTCCTTCCTTGCCCACCATCTCGTTCCATCTGCAGCATCATATCTGCCTAACTGAGGGGCAACCTAAAGAATGAGAAACTACCATAGGGAGACCATGTTCTGATGGATATTCCCAACATGGTAGTCCAAGAAACTACAATCCGTCAGGTCCAAGCTTGCGGTTTGGGGCCTCCAACCGGCCAAGACCCTCCAAGTACCTTGTTCCCAAAAGACATCTAGACCTGGTTTCACCATAACTTGATACTGCTTACAATGTGCGTCTCAGTGCAGGGTGAATAAACCCCCAGTTGACAAATATGGGTGGTACAAGATGGTACCATTTCTAACTGAAAGAACAACTATTTGAATCTACTTGATGGACCTTGATAATCAATATATGCACTGATGCACTGTAGTTTATGAACCCGAGTTTCTGAATCTTTCTGAGAGGCCTTGCAGCTAGTGATCGTCATGTACGAGACAGGCCCTGCATCTGCGCCGTCCGTAAGGACGGAGACGCTCATGCTTTTTTTTTTCGAAGGTTATCAAAGGATGGAGAAGATTCAAACCTTGACAGGCCGTTTCTTCTTGATAAACAAGCGTATTTACTAAATTTGGTTTGGAGCTGCTTATTTCACCATACTGTCTGCCTTCTTGGCTGGATCCCACAGTTTAAGGTACTCCCGTGAACATTCACATTGCTTCTCATACTGAGCAATTCACAAGCGAGGCCAGCTTACCCTATCAATCCTGCCCAACTGAGAAACCAGGCAAATAAAGCGATATCAATGGCAGGGTCAAAGGGAAGGTCTTTCCTTTTCCAGCAAACCAGGTGGGATCATCAGGGGGCTATGGCTATTCAGAACCCAAATCACACCAATACACCCGTACTAAACACGCACATTTCTCACCTGCCCAACTGTCAGGGACACACACCCTGAGTTTGGTCTGATTCAGAGAAGGGGGTAGCGGCTACCTATCCCGCTGCCTAAAGGAAGTTGGGAAGCAATCTTCCGAGTTACGGATGACTTTTACCTGATGAAGGGTGGTATGAGACTTTACATCACATAACAATACACTCAATGAAGGGTGGTGTGGGACTTGACAATGTATTGTCGAAGGAAGTTTAGAAGTCAAACTTCCGACAATATGGACAGATGAAAAGCAGAGATGGGAAGAGTCAGAGAAGAGAAGAGAAGAATAAAGAAGATCAAAAAAGAGAAAGTCTCAGAAGATCTAAGATCCAGGTGCGCGAAAAGGTAGGAAAGTCGCGAAACACTGCGTTTTTCCAATGATTTGTGGCTCCGGAGGGTCGAAAAGTAGGCTCGCTAAAGCGGCGGGTGCAGAGCCAGCTGGCCAGATGAGAGATAAAAAATTGCACACCGTTGTGGTGCGAAGCACATTTCCAAGTCAAAATGTACAAAGCACCCCAGCTTCGGAGCACTTTTAGAAGTTGAGATGTCGAAAAAGCGCCCGCCGCTGTGGCGCGAAGCACATTTGGAAGTCAAAGTGTAAAAAACTGACGGGTTCAGAGCACTTTTGGAAGTTGAGATGAGATGTCGAAAAAGTGCACGCCGTTGTGGCGCGAAGCACATTTCGAAGTCAAAAGGCACAAAACACCACATGTACGCGCCACTTTTGGACGTTCAGATGTCGTTTTGCGTGGCAGGCGCAAGGGATTATGCACCTTGTCAAGAGTGAGCAAAACGTGAGGGTTTTGTAGCATTTCCAAAAACGATGGCAGGCGTGGGACATTCGAAGAGAACCTGCAAAGATACATTTTCCGTGGCAGGCGCAGTACAAGAGACATGTTCATCAGAGATGTTAGGAGGTCCGGGCGCTGATTTTTTGAGAGGGGTTGCGTTTTGGAGCATCAGATCTTCAGTTTTGTGAAGATGATTTTGCGTGACAGGTGCAGCACTTCGCATGACCGGGCATCACTTTTTCGTGGCAGGCGCAGTACTTTAGACAGGTGAAGTGGTAAAATCGCAAAACACATTGGTACGAGGCTGTCAGCTCTGCACTCAACTTTCCATTTTTGAAGGAAGTCTCGCAGAATTGCTTCGTTTTTGATGTTGTCAAGTTCAAAAATTTAGGAAGTCTCGCAGAATTGCTTCGTTTTGGATGGTGGACAGACAGACAGACAGATAGATAGATAGATGGATAGATAGATATAGATAGAAAATGATAGAAAGATAGATAGATAGGATAGGATAGGATAGGATAGGATAGGATAGATAGATTGATAGGTAGGTAGGTAGGTAGGTAGGATGGTAGATAGTCAGAGAAAGAGAGAGAAAGAGAGGAGACCTCAACCACCTTTCGGTCCATCAGCGGTTTCGCTCTGCCATCCGTGATTCACAACAAGCAACCTCTCCTATTGGTTTCCTATTTTCGAAACTTCCACCACCGCCTTGTGCGGTACTACTGGTATTCTCCTACAAGCACTAGTGAATGCAACAACCGCTGCCGTTTCTCCTCTGCAGCAAATCCACAGATGTCGGCGTGTCTATACATGTCTATACTAGCTCAGGTGTTAAAAACACAGCTGCAGCAAACATAGCTGGAGTCTGCCATTCAACAAGTGACTGAACTACTATGAGTTTTTGGGAAGTTTTCAAATGACATTCATGAAGATGAAAATGACTCAACCCAAAATCATGCATCAAACGGACTTTGATTTTTGGGGTACTCTCCTGAAAACCAACGTAATGCAAAAAAAAAATGAAAAATGGGGTTCCATGTATTTACTCCAGTGGAAGTAAACTTGTAGTGAATGCCGCCCAAAGCAAAAGGGGCGGCGGCGGCGGCGCATGGACAGCCGAAGGGCAAGGCAAAGGTCAAAGCGGCAGCAAAGCAGAAGGCGAAGGCCAAGGCAAATGCGAGCGCACTGCTGGCCGGGGCCCCATTCACGCAGGGACTAGCGGTCCATTGCTTTGACCTCTTTCCATCTCCTCCTGTTCCGGTTCTTGTTCGGTTCCTGGCTGCATGCTGTTTGGGGTTGCTGATGTGCCCGGTCCGGCTTAGGCCAGAAGACTCTCGCCGCAAGGCCCCAACAACCCCAACGCGCCCAGGCAGAAACTCGGTTGCAACTGGGGTTTGCGTTATATATGATATTTATATATACCCCTAAAGTCCAAGAGCTATTTTCAAAATGGCGTTTGTTGTAAAGACCATTTCCCCCACATGTCTAATGGTCTTTGGCAAAGACCATTTCAGTCCATGTGATTGGTACACCTTCCTTTTTCCTCCGGTCGCTACCGTCTTGAGGTCTTGTTTAACCTCAGCAGGGTTGATCATGCTAAACCATAGGTGATATCATGGTCACAGGTGCACAAAAATAATATAACTCAGAATTATTCAGATAAGTAGCTGCGCAACACGGTGCTTCATAGATCGCAACCTGCAATCATTATAATGACCCTTTGATGGTAGACATATAGGATGGGGCAATATCCAATATGTAAACCAATTATTGGCCAGGCAAATTCCTTGCCTCAACTTGGTACATTTGAGAATCCAGCGTTCTCTTCTATTGGGATGAGCTCTTTGAGCAACTCCTTGGTTGTCAACAATCAGAATCGGTGATTGATATGATGATAATGATAAGGTACAGAATGATTTTTTGAGGCAAGGGGCCTTTCATCCAACGCATACAATCCTCATGAATCCTCATCTGTAAATGTATGTACCATTCGTGGATTAGTTCCTTAGTATTGAAAAGCTGCACAACAGATTTAGCATAACCTCTGATAGCTATTTCGATCACTTCGCACAAAAGAGCTCAAACCTGCATCTCTCTACGCACATGGCAACACCAGATGACAACAATCATGCAGCCACTCCAATGCGATCTGCAACCACAGATTCAAGAAACGCATAGAACGACGCACATAGACACAACCACTCGTTGCAGAACACAGAGGAGAAACCCATTACATCCGGAACGACCCCAACCGCAACCGCCGCACACACGAGGTACCTTTCATCGCCGGCTGCAACCACTTTACACGGAAAAATACAAGGTTTCGTGCTCCGGCTTCCTCCCCAAAACAAAGCCCATGCAACATTCATGCAGCCATTACAATACGTTTCGCAGCATCACTTAGCAAACCTGCATCTCTCTACACACACGGCAACACAAGATGACAACAATCATGCAGCCATTCCAATGCGATCTGCAACCACAGATTCAAGAAACGCATAGAACTACGCACATAGACACAACCACTCGTTGCAGAACACAAGAGGAGAAACCCATTACGTCGGGAACGACCCCAGCCGCACCGCCGCACACACGAGGTACCTTTCATCGCCGGCTGCAACCACTTTACACGGAAAAATACAAGAAAGCCCATGCAACATTCATGCAGCCATTACAATACGGTTCGCAGCATCACGTAGCAAACCTGCATCTCTCTACGCACGTGGCAACACCAGATGACAACAATCAATCATGCAGCCACTCCAATGCGATCTGCAACCACAGATTCAAGAAACGCAAAGAACTACGCACATAGACACAACCACTCGTTGCAGAACACAAGAGGAGGAACCCATTACGTCCGGAACGGCCCCAGCCGCACCCGCCGCACACAGGAGGTACCTTTCATCGCCGGCTGCAACCACTTTACACGGAAAAATACAAGGTTTCGTGCTCCGGCTTCCTCCCCAAAACAAAGCCCATGCAACAATTCATGCGCCCATTACATTACGTTTCGCAGCATCACTGCATCTCTCTATGCACACGGCAACACTAGATGACAACAATCATGCAACCACCCCAATGCGATCTGCAACCACAGATTCAAGAAACGCATAGAACTACGCACATAGACACAACCACTCGTTGCAGAACACAGAGGAGGAACCCATTACGTCCAGAACGACCCCAGCCGCAACCGCCGCACACAGGAGGTACCTTTCATCGCCGGCTGCAACCACTTTACACGGAAAAGCACAAGGTTTCGTTCTTCTGCTTCCTCCCCAAAACAAAGCCCATGCAACATTCATGCAGCCATTATACCAGTAGTACCGCACAAGGCGATGGCGGAAGTTTCAGAAATAGGAAACCTATAGGAGAGATTGGTTGTTGTGAATCACGGATGGCAGAGCGAATCCACTGATGGACCGAAAGGTCGTTGGAGTTGTGTTTTTGGAGTGGTTGCAATCGTTGCAGTGGTCACCTCACTCACAACTCCTGGATGTAGTGTGGTGTAGCGCAGTAGTTGTAGTTGTAGTTGTACTGGTGTTGATGTTGTTGAAGTTGTAATGTAGTTGTAGTTGTAGTTGTAGTTGTAGTAGTAGTAGTTGTTGTTGTTGATTGTTTGTTGTTTGTTGTTTGTTGTTTGTTGTTTTGTTGGTTTGTTGGTTGTTGGTTGTTGGTTGTTTGTTGTTGGTTGTTTGTTGTTTGTTGTTTGTTGTTGTTGTTGTTGTTGCTGTTGTTGTTGTTGTTGCTGTTGTTGTTGTTGTTGTGTTGCAGTTGTAGTGTAGTTGAAGTTGTAGTTAT